TCTCTCTCTCTCTCTCTCTCTCTCTCTCTCTCTCTCTCTCTCTCTCTCTCTCTCTCTCAAAATAAATCTAGTATTTTAAATCTAGTATTCATTTAAAGAATAAATTTTTTTCCTTTGTTTCGATATTTGTTTATTTTAACTTGTTATTATTCCTTTTCAAATTTTCATGTTCTATGAAAAGAGTAAAATTATGTAATTTAAATAAATAAAAAATCAAACTAATAAAATTGAATTAAATCGCTGCGTATTGTGCACAATCTGGCGATTTACACAGAGAATAGAACTCGGAGCAATAGAGGATGGAAATTATAAACTATTATCTTTTGATATTTATTCACAATCGTTGTTTCACTACAATGTTATTTAAATTCTCTGTATATTTTGCAAAGCTTTGGATTCTTCATCGATGCGAAAACAGTTCGCTTATTATCATAGTAAACGTAAGTCATCAGGTCGAGTCAGCAAAAAAATCAATGACGTATCGACTATTCGTTAAAAATTCATTTAGTACAAAGAATGAGAATATTCGGTGATTCCTTTTATCACGCTATATTACGTATTTCCTAACGATGATAATGCCTATTTTACAATAAAGTTATAAGCCGTAAGTCGTAAGAAATTAACCAGTCACAATCGAAAAGAAAAATAATCGACTATGATTTAAAACAAAAGCGCAGATTCTTACATAATTCATAATGTATAGCAAATAAGAAAATCAATTAGAATCTTTTATTTCGTGGAAAGAAAGAAAATAAATGATTTTGATTGATTCATTTTTTATGCATTATGCGTTATACACGATTCTGTGTTTCCGCTCTTAATTTTTAACGGCTTACGATTTGCATCCCTATTATAGAATAGGGATAAGTCGTTGGCTAATAAAAATACTTCATTGTCTGTAGCGTATTGTTGTGTACTATATACACAGTCATCTTGTCATTCGAGCGGCGAAACTCGAACCGGCAGCGAAGAAGCAAGCGGCTTTGTACATCATATTATCATTCAAGACGCGGTCGCGACAAGTGGACTTAGAGATGTTGTACCAAATGCGATCGTCTCTTGTACAAACAGTTAACAATTACGAGCAGTAATGATCTCTGTTTCTGAGCTCTAGTTTAGTCGACAACTTCAGCTATTTAGATAGCTACTTAGATAAAGTGTAATCCTTATCTCGGTTATCTAGAATATCTGTTATTTTGTACGATTTCCATTTTCGATTGAAGTGAAGATTAAGGTAATAGAGGAGGGAAATTATAAATTATACAATAATAATTAGATAGATTTTTAGACAAACAATAATAAACAAAAAGGAATATAAAAACCTTCGCAAAAATCTTATTTGCGTATTACTCTATTCAATTTTTATTAAATATGTCGCTTAAAGGTTTTGACCTTTATTAGGACATCCTCGGTATGAGAATATTTAATAAAGATTGAACAAAGTAATCCGCGAATAAGACTTTGCCTGGATTTTTATGCTCCTTTTTGTTTATTATTATAAATTATAATTTATAAAATCGCATGCGTTAGATCGTTTTTATTTGTTTAAAAGTAATTTGTTCGTTACATTGTAACACAAAAATAATTTAAACAGGACAGCAGAAGTAATTTTATACAATGCATAATAAATAGAGAATAATATTTCTTGTAACTGCTAATAAATCAAAAGAGAATAAATTAAAAACAAACATTGCACTCAGTAGACGGGATCGCACGTGTCATACGTAATTGCGAAAGTTGCGAGGTCTCCAATAACCAGCGAATCGAATTATCTAGCTCTGCGGTATAACATTACAATTAGTCAATTTCCATTGAGAAATAATTGTGTGGTAATGATGGAAAATGTAGTTTGCGCGATTAGTAACGTCGTGTTTCGCAGAGCATTCGGCATTGATCCGTTGGACATATTGTCGCGATGTTTGAAGTATGAAGATTGCAATATCGTGAATTAATGCAAATACTACGTAAATTATTTCCAGTGCACTCGTCCGACGCTACATTGATGCATAACGTAACGTTGATTTATATGCTCGCGGGAATTTTGATAGCGTTTTCGAAAAAAATATCTGAGAGAAATATGTCACCGTTATTTAAATTCGATCTTGGATATTATTCAATCCTCAATTATTATGATTAAATCATAAATATTAACGACGTTTGGAACTTTAGACGAGAGAAAAAAGTAGACATATCTTTTTCCAGAAAAAAAAATTGAAACGCAAATATTAAGCGTGATTAGTTGAGAATTCGTACCATCAAAATGCTTGTCAAACTTTAAAGTTACATACCTTCAACAAAGTTTTGAATTATTTCAACTTGTTAAACCTTGTTTAACTTTCGACTACAGCAACGAGAATTTAGACTTAAAGTGAAAATTTTAGATGGTTTGGTACAATGATACATATACAATTAAGCATGAAGTTCTAAATCATAAAAAAACTTTGAATCTTCTTTTATCAAGCAAAATCGAAGTTTATTTGAATTCTATGCTTCAAACATAGGATGCTTTAGAACTTAGATGTAATTTTTATAATATAAAAATATTATATTTTAAATATAAAAAGAATATTTCTACTGAAGTATTTAAAAATTTAACTAGATACAGATCTAAATATATAATATAATTTTATTTGGATCATCAAAATAATTATGTAGCGCGTTTAAACTGATTACTGGAATATTAAAATGTTGCAATATTATTATTAATGTTTAAGCGTTTTGCATAATTATTTTGATGGATCAACAAAATTATTTTCAGATCTGCATCGAGCTAAATTTTTAGATACTTTAACAAAACCGTTCTATCTAGTACAGTTAAGATTAAAAGAATCAATTAAAAACACAATTAATTACTTGAAGAAAAAAAGAATAATAATAGTAACAAACCATCATTTCTGCAGCGAAAATCGGTTGCTCTTCGTAGGATGTTTCTCATTTGGATTTTGATCTTCATTGCGTGATTCTATGCAATCCTGTATGTCTTTTACGCGAAGCGAGCAAGCTAAATAACGAATGAAAAATGGTTGTTCGGAACTGGAATTACGTGTGCGCAGTAAATACCGAAAGTCCCCTCGCGGGAAATCGGTCGAGATGGTCGTCCCGGACGTGTAACATCATTACATTCGTAATTCCTGAGGCCGCATGCACCGCTTTCAGCAAAAGCGGTAGACGATGGATTTAGCGAATGATGAAACGAGCGATGCAATTTGTTTATCTTCGTTTATCCAATAAAATTCGCAGCGCGTACAATCCGATGGGTGAACTAATGATAGAACATTATTCGATACTGTGAGTCAATAAAATATATATATGCACGAGTAAAATGCAAGAAATAAAATCCGAAGCAATTCTATTACTTTTGAAAGATATTCCATAATTCGCGGGTTTTTTCCATTATGTAACAAAGTGAATCTTTATTATTATTAATCTCTCCTCAAATCCTTTTTGTATTAGAATATTATTATTTAATTGTTAAAGATTGCAATTAAAAATTATAATATTATATTTGAAGAAGCATTTGAAATGATTAATAATATAAACAAAAATAAAATTTTGTGTAAATATCTGGACATAAGAATATATGTCCGGTCACTTCTCTGAGACGTTTATCTTCTCTTATCGGAACAAAAACGATCATTCAAGAATCGAAAAAATAAATCGATTTACCAATAATAATTGCATAATAAGCTATCTTTTTCTTGTGTTCTCTTGGATAATGATCCATTTATCCCCATCCTAACTTGTCGCGTGCTACTTTCGCATTAGATAAAATTTACATCTTAGCCAGAGTAGCTGCAGTTCGTGTCTGTATATGAGTACATATGTACGTACACGCCTATGTGTATCGGGCTTGTGCTATTTTCCTGTAAGAAGTAGATCGGTTATTGGGAAACTTCGCGATAGTTTATACGCGCTGCAACTGCAGCGGAACCGTGAGAGAGGTCCACCCTGAGAGAGGTAACAGCTTTGCAACGACCCTCCCAGCCATTATTGGAGATATACGTAAGTTTGTCGTTGTCTTTCTCTTTTTAACGTGGGACACGGGCTATCGAAGCAACAAAATTACTGTGGCGACAATATACATATATTGTGCAGTATTGTCGCTTCAGTGTATAACAAAGTTTTTATATGTATATATGTACACACACACACACACACACACACACACACACACACACACACACACACACACATATATATACATATATATATATATACATATACATCCTCTAAACTTTTAAAGTGAATTGTTACTCTGAAGAGGAAATCTCTCACTCTTAAAGATTAAAAATTGAGCTACTCTTTTTCAAGACTAGTTAAATTTCATTCTTTAGAGTGAGATTCCACTTCAAAGAATTTAAAGAGTATATAACCGGTTCGTTGCGAAATTAGAGAAACTAGAGGACTGCCAACTCGTTCACGTAAACGACAAATTTCACTATCATTTCAGTGATATATCTTTTCGCTATGCACATTTACTTCTTATATCTTAACTTCATTGTTTACAGAACTTTATCGTGTTTACTAATGGGTGCTGTCTTTGTTTTAATAGAATGAGGAAGCTGTTTTATCTTATTAGGGCAAATTTGAAACAAGCAGGACAATGCTTCTTCATTGTTTATATAGTGCGAAATTGTTTTTAACTGCGTAGTATTATTAAAATTATAACTGTTAACGTACGTAAAAGTTAAGTTTTCCTCACGAGTTTCTATCAGCTGACACATACGAGTCTTTTATTTTCGTCGTTCTAAAAGTTAACGCGTCACTGTAATTAATAATTAGGGGTAACACATGCTGTTAAATGCCTGCCTTATTACTAATTTTTAGTTATCTCTCTCCTACTTTTCCCGGTTTTCTTTACTCATTTGTGTAGAATTCTGGCAAGCAATTGGAGGAAATAAAACAGCTAACCATTATAATAAAGATATGAGTCAAATTACTACGATTTCAATTTCGTATTCTAACCTGTTCAGTCTATTTGATGTAATTCATTTTCTTTTAATTAATAATATTTTAAAATAGAAATGATTTTATGACCTTATAAGAAATTTACTTATATTTGATTTATAGGTAATTTACTCATATTTACTTAATTAATATTTTATTTAAAAAATTTTTTTTCTCTTGTATTTGATGACTTTATCTATTTTATGAAAATAATATCTTTCCGTAAAAATTTATTTTTTATTTTTTAAAACTTTTTAATCCTTCGTAGTCACCTAGGATTCAGGGGGCCCCCCAAAAAAGTGTAAAGTGTTTATATTTATAAGATCTTTTTTTTAAACGGGACTTAAACTGCCATTTATCCAAAATTTAAAATACCTTTTTACACCTTCAATCATATTGTTCCTTGGGCGTCAGCCTTTGCGATTTTTTTAAATATGTTAAAATTAAAAACTTTAAAAAGCCACTGCATTTTTATATCGTATAACGTTTAAAATAATTTCAGTAATTTTTGTGATCTAAAAAACAAAAGCTGTAAAATATAGCGATCAATTAAAATATTGAGATCATTTTACCTTCTGCGTGACCAACATTTTCAAGAGATATGATCACGAAGAGTTAGTTGCTTTTTAATTTTCATTTTTTTAGAGCTTTTTAATTGCATGGATCAAACACTATGATCATATAGTTCTAAACAGATTAGCGAAATTAAAACATGTTGAAAAGTACTGAGTTGATATTCAGTGAAATGATATCGGTGTTATAATTCTATGACAGCGATATAAATTTAATTTAGAATTTTACACTTGGATTCACTGGATATCAATTCAGTATTTTTCAACATGTTTTAATTTTACTAATCTGTTCAAAACTATGTGATCATACCATTTTACCAATTGTTATCATTATTATTTACCTGTAATTTCTGCTTGGAGTCGGCTGGATGAAGTGGCTCGGGACCGGTTTTGGGCTGATCACCCTGCAGACTTTCGATGTTCTTTGTACGTATCAGCTTGCCGAAGAGCTCGAGGCCCTTCTCCCGGTCCAGGTCGAGCTTCATTTTTCTGCAAATTAAGGACAATCGAATTATTAACCCATAGAGGCACAGATTCGGAAGAAAAAGAGAGTAATAACGGGTAAGTGCTTTTGATCGATGTTTTTCATAAACATTGTTCTATAATAGGCACGTGAAATAAAATATTACGCAGAAAACGCATCAACGAAAGGAGGATAAAGTAACATGATATTATAGAATGAAGTTCAAACATCGTATGTCTGTCAGCTGTCTGTCGATAAAATGAGAGAAAATAATTAGAGAGCAAATATCCGCAAAAATGTATGAGTTCCGACGTTTGTTGAACGGAGATTAAAAAGACATATATATACAGTTGAACACAATTACGCTATCCGCAAATGAGATAAAATTCAGTGTATTTTTCAAGCATTTCTAAGTTTACCCGGCAGAAATGCAAACTAAAATGCACACGTGTATGCGCGTAAAAAGTAATTGAAAATCAGACCGATGTGTGAGATTGTTATTTCTAGCGGGGGGTTAATAATATCTGTCTGAACATGAGGCCTTTATGAGATTAAAAATAACTTCTGCGGCGCGAAGAGAGTAGTTTAAAGGTTATCAAATAAAATAAGAGTAAAGTATAAAGTCGAAAAGATAGTTTATCGTAAAACTTCCGGATCCTTGATATTCAAAGTGATAGAAAATAACGGAAGATATTTTATGTCTAAAAATAGTATTCTGAACAATAAGGATAAAAGTTTCATTTCATAAAATACGTATCGTATAAATAAAATAACATTTCGAGCAACTCATAGACAAAACAGACAATAGTAATATATACACGTAAGAGAACAATTGGAGTGAGAACAATTCAGAGATTCAGAGAACAGTTTCAAGAAATTGCGTGTCTAACAAATAATATCCATCAAACGAACGCGAGATTATAAAGAAAGAAGACTTAACGTCTGGTCTCATCCATCATCCGAAAACGCAAAACGACGAAGCCGCGAAGAGATGTCTAACTCTGCATAATCGAACGACTATCGGCCATTTCTTGAGACAAACGAGCTCTAAAAAAAGCCCGTCGTTTACATATGTGGTTCTCTTTTCTTCGGCTCGCTTGTTTCCAGGGTCGGAAGTCGCGTACACGAATTATCGATTTATTATCTGACGACATTGTTCTTCAACGGGGGCGCAGCTCTTTCACGTGTGCTTTGGCGGTGCTTCTCCGAGAATCTCTTGCCTGAGATTGAAAAATTATCGTTCATACTCTTGTCATCTCATGAAACTACTTTGCCAAGATTACGACTAAGCTTTCAACTGATTAAGATTCGACTTAAAAACATCAAATTATCTTTTACTGATATATATCCAACTTTTATAGCGGATTCTTCGATTAAGAATATATGTGTCACATTTCAAAATATTACCAAAAGTGTAAAACAAGTTTTATAGATGATTCTATTATTATATTTAAAAATTTAAGCACGATTTTTTCTTGTTTAAAAATTCAGATTTTTGTTTATTTTAATTCTTATGTAAAATCATATTAAATCCTCAGCATGCAGAATGTCAAATAAATATTCTGTAAAAATTCTGTGAAATATCGCGATCATTGAAACGATTACTCATCCTCTTTACTCTGTCCAATTAAAACATCACACGTTTATAATACAGACGCGATGCACGCTCTTCACGACAGATTATGCAAACAGTGAACAGTGAGGATAATCACCGAACGAGTGAATGAGAAAGTACTCGGCGTATTAAAGGGAATAAATTATTCAGGATATACGTGGATAAGGTTAAAAGACTTGAAAGTAAAATAAAAGTAAATTTGAAAGTGAATTGAAAGTAAATTTTACTTGCCCCTCGTCGAAGATAATGGATTTTCAAGATACGTTCGGAATTTTACCCAGGAGCTACTAAGAGAGAAATTAGCACGTGTGATACGTCGCTAGTGACAAGTCACGAAATCCATATCATTTGGAAAGAACGCGCGAAATTTCCCAACAGAGGAACAAACTGTCGACGGAAACTCTTGCGAGATTTTAAAAATATACGAATTGAAATATACAAATTTAATGATATGTAAGAGTTTTCTACTCGTAAAATGCATAAACTTTACCGGGACTTGAAAAAATATTAGATATATATTAGATTTTTATATCAATGTAATATTTTAACAGTTTCCCTTGTATGATCTCTGTATTTTTTACGTATAAATTATTATTGTTAAAAAAGTAGCATAACAATAATTAAAAGTAGCGTTCAAAATTAATAACTTTTCATTAGAGCATTTCTTAAGTTTTTTCTGAATTGGAACAAAATTCTTAATTAAGATAATAAATGCTAAAATAACTTCACTTTTTTCCACGTTATACTTTAAATTACAATGTATTATTTAAAATTAAATCATTTGTTTTCAAAAATTCGGATAATACAATCCTAATATAGAGCTATGTAAACATTCCAGAGTAGTAATATTTTTTTATATAAACAATGTGACAAATGTATCATTTTTCTATAATAAGATATTAGTCTTTGGAGAGAGAGAGAAAGAGAGAGATTGATTTCCTTTCAAAAATGTCAATTTTTTATTTGTATTACTTTTCTGTCAACGTGATAAAATATAATTTAGTTCCGTACGACGCTATTTTTAAAATATTTATCGTTAGATAAAAATACGTATGTAAAAGTTTCTATTCTCGGCAAAAGCTGTGCATAGCACTTAACGAAAGTATTAAAACGGCTCAAGTGAAGTCGGAAATTAATATCTTACGAGAGAGAGAGTCGACGATCCCGATCCTTCAATATGCATGAGTATTTCTCTCCTCCTGTTTCGTTAAGAAACATATAAGAATAGTTTTCAATAATGCAAACGCAAGTTTGTTTCAAAGCAACAGTAGCGAATTTACATGAAATCAACTGATCGCTGTATAATCGCGCTTTAACGTGGCAGAATGCAACTAACCCTTTGTATGCTACTCGCGTAATATCTCAAACGGTTGAAACATCAACCATTTCTTTATGTTCTCAATCGACCTCTCATTAGCAAAACTTGTTGTCAGATACATATTTTTCGCACATATTTCATTCTTACCTCATTTCATTATTTATATATATTTTTATTGCATGATGGAATATAGAAATATTTAAATATGTTAAACAAATTAATATTGCTTGCATATACACGATTAAAATTTATCCTATATTACAGAAGCGATTTGAAAAATATTTATTTTGAGATATACTTTACTTTTACTGGGAATAAAGTTAAGATCTTTATATTAAAATCTATATTCTAAAAAATATGAGTGTGGATTTCATACTATGAGTATTAAATATAATTCTCATATTGATGTTGATATAAATCAATATGATGTTTATATAATTTTCACTGTGTTACTATAGATATAAATACTACTAACATGATATGGATTTAATAACATGAATATGGATTTAATATTCTGATTTTTAAAAAAAACATAAAACAAGGCTCAATTGACAAAAATCAAATTGATAAATCAAGGGATACGAATTTAACTGAATGTTTATAAACTGTATTTTAAAATTTAACAATAAACATTTGGTTAGGTTTGTAGCTCTTGATTTATCAATTTTATTCTTAAATGATTTAATATCATATTAATATTAAATCATTTAAATCAGAATATTAAATTATTAATACTACAACCATGATATTAAATCTACACATATTGGTATTAACAGCAACACAATGAGAATTATACCTGACACTGGCATGATGTTAAATTCCATATTTCTTAGAATGTATAGATTAGTAATTATTATATCATATGGCTTTATTCAATTTACAAATGTAATAAAATATGGAAATATCGCAATTTGTTATTATTTGTTATTCCTTTATTTGCAAAAAATGTCAGCTAGTATAGAGATCATAATATAGTACAAAGAAACTTACAACAAACAGCAGTAAGTTTAAAAATATCAATAAAATTCTATCATTTTCTTATTTGTATGGGAAATTGCGTTACACAAAAGTAATATTGTTGCTCAGTTCCATCGTAACACGACGGTATCATACGCACAAGAGATTTTAATTAAGAACAGGGACGAAACAAAAGCACATTCATGTCGCTGCTTACTGCGTGACTACCATATAGAGACAATAGCAATGAAACGAAAACTCATTCGTATTCTCAGATCATCAAAAAAGTCCGCCGAGGTTTTCTCAATTAGAACTACGAAAAACAAGTCACTGCTGCGGAATTTCCTTTTCTTTAATCTTTGATAACGAAGAACTTGTTAGGCTGAAACGTTTTTGTACTTCTCAATCAACGAAACCAATAATCAATCCTTCGAAATCCTCGCTTTCTTTCTTCATGTTTATTCTTCTTAACGAGAAAGTGCACTTTGCCCTTCCGCGCAATGCGTTATTACGTGATTGTCCTACCAAAGGATTCATTCGGCATTTTCGAACGCATGCATCACTAGTGGATCTAGGGAAAACCATGGCCCTCCTTTGGAGTCTCCTTTTTTTAAAAATAATTATGCAAAATATTATAGTCTAGTGTTGGCGCTGTATATTTTGTTTATATTTTTGTTATATATATTATTAATATTTGTACAGTACTTTATCACAATTTTTATTCTAAAAATATTTGTTAATTTAATAAATTCTTAGATATAAAAACGTATATTCTATTATCTTATTCTTTTTTTGTGTTAATAATTTTAATAAAACGAATTATAGCAATCAAAGTCTTAAACAGTCTAGCTAGATCTTAAATGCTGCTATGATTTTGTGTAAATTTATATACTACGTATGTAAATTTTCCTTTTTGAAACGCGCGTTGAAATAATTTTTCGATCTTGAAACACTCATTCTACTAAACCGCAGTAATATTATGAATTAAAATTGACTAGCAATTTAACAATTTTTGATTGAATATGCTTTTTCGAATCTTCGAAACGATCTTAATTATACTGAGTGACATATTAAAATATGTAAATAATTAATTCTTATTGCGATAAATATTACTTCCGCCAGAAGTAATATATTAT